AAGATTTAATGCTGTTTTAAAGGGAATGATACATCATACCGTTAGAGAACATTCCAAAGATTGGGAGAAACATCTACCGTACTTACTTTGGGCTTATCGAGAAGTTCCTAATGCTACGACTGGTGTTAGTCCTTTCCAAATGCTTTATGGAAGACATCCTAATGGCCCGTTGTCTATTTTGAAATCGTCATGGACTAATGAAACTCCTGTTCCTCATGGACAGTTAAGTTCAGTCACCGATTATCTGAATGATTTGAAGACGAAATTGGAAAAAGATGCTGAATACGCAGGACTTACAGATGTTGGTGTTGGTGTATTTAATTATGGCAAAGCACACTAGGGCTATCTGCCTAAGAGGAGGGATGCCTTCCGTGGAGGACTTTCTAAGGGAAACTGGCTCGTATACCACGTTACACATGGGGAAAACCACGAAAACACCCATGCAGCCAGCCCGTTCGCGGGATTCGAACCTCGGACCGAACTACCAGTGTTCAGCGACTTTACCGCTCGGCCGCTGGTGGGCCCTTACAGATGTTGGAAAGCAACAAGCTGATGCATTCTACCGTAACCGAAAGACTCGTCATAAAAAATTCAAGGAAGGTGTCAGGGTTATAGTTTTAATCCCTGATAGCCAAAACAAAGTTTATGCCAGATGGACGGGACCTGCTACGATCATCAAAAAGCATACTGATTATAGTTACATAGTACAAATGCCTGACAATTCATCGAAGCACGTTCACGCAAACAAGATACGAGAGTTCAATACCGCTGTGAATAATGTCGGTGTGATATATGATACAGATATTGATTTCGGCGAAGTTGAAAACGTTCCAAGAATTGTTCCACGGAAAGCAAAAGAACACTATTCTAATGAAGAATGTGATTTTACGCACCTTGAACCGCATAAAAAGAAAGAACTTATAGAAATTTTAGGAAGGCATAAGAACCTAAGAACTGGTATTCCGAAAATCGCCAATGTGAGAGAACACAGCATCAAACTGAAACCTGGAAGTATGCCAAGAAAGCAGAAACCGTATCGAATACCTGAAGTTCTAAAGAAATGAAGTTGATCGACAAATAGATAAGCTTTTACAGCTAAAGCTAATCGTTGAATCAGAAAGTGAATATGTGCATCCAGTAGTTTATGTGTCAACAAAATGGAACCGTAACATTAGGTGTAGACTAAAAGACTACGCCGATTCTTATATTGATGACGTGATTATATTTTCTGATGACTGGAATACACATCTGAAACATCTTAACAAAGTCTTAAGTACGCTAGAAAAGGCAAATTTCACGGTTAATTTCAATAAGTGTGACTTTGCAAAGCATAAAATCAAATTTCTAGGACACGTAGTTGGTTCCGGTTCACACGAACCTGACCCAGAAAAAGTTGAAGCCATACAGAATTTAGAAGTTCCCCGTACTAAGATGTAAGAAGTATTTTAGGACTATTATCGTATTACCGGTCTTACGTACCCAATTTTTCTGCGATAGCACAAACCTTTAACGGCGTTAACAAAAAGAAGGGCTTCGAACGAAATTACTTGGCTGAAGGAACACGATGAAGCGTTTATTCAATTAAAACGTGCCATTTGCAATGCCCCTAAATGTTACTCTCCAAATTTTAGTTTGCCTTTCATCATTTACGCAGACGCATCGGCATACGCTGTAGGAGCTTGTTTGGCTCAACAAGATGAAAATAGTGTAGAACACCCAATAGCCTTCGCTAGTAAAAAGTTGACCGAGACACAAAGAAATTACGCTGTGTTAATTGAAAAGGAAGCGTTTGCCGTTTATCTTTGCCCTGAAGAAGTTTGAAGCTTATATCTTTTGTTCTGAGATAGTCATCGTTAGTGATCATAACCCTCTCAGATTTCTCATCGAATGTTCTTCACAAAGTTCTCGTTTACAACGCTGGTCTTTAGCATTACAGCGATTTCATGCAGTGATTACATGCCGGAAAGGAAAAGATCATATTAATGCAGATTCGTTTTCTCGATTGACTGCCTCTCACTGGGAGCATGACTGACGTTATGAACTATGAACTATAAGACATTTTGACTGTTTAGTTTGAAAATTTTTTTTTGAGCTAAAATGCTAAATTTTTTTTCTAACGTTATATAATAGGTTTAAAGATTTAGCTAGCTTTGCTAAAGTATTATGTTTAATTCAGAAGTCAAACAACAAATATCAGCGTTATATTTACAAAATTTTCACAGGACTAGTTTCGATGGTTTTACCGAACCACCATCCTCAGCTGCAAAACCGCAAATGAACAAGATAGGAAATAATGATTAGATAAGATAAGAAAGCCCGGACAAGAATAAGCAAGTGGCGCCATCTGTTGGTGAAACCAGAACTAAAACATAATTTCTTTAAAGGCCGAAGGCAAATTTGGATTGGAATTAGGATCGTTAACTAGAACAGAAAGATTTTTATGAATGTGAAATGCCTCTAGAAAATCCAATTCTCCAATGAAATATGTTTTTTGAATAATTTTGGCAGCAGAAAAATTGAAAGTGTGGTTTTCGGACCAACAATGTTGAGCAACAGAAGACTTCTGTGTTTCCTTTTTTCTAACATATGCCTCATGTTCCTTGACGCGAAATTTTAAGGCTCTCTTAGTTTGGCCAATGTAAATTAAACCACACTGGCAAGGAATCCTATAAATACCCCAGGAATTCATATCCGGAATGCGGTCTTTGAGTATGGAACTCGGAATTTTATTGATGGGAGAATAAACAACCCGAAAGTTAAATTTCTGCAAAATGTGTGCAACTTTATAGCTAATTGATGGAAAGAAGGGAATGACAACAGGATTTTTATAATCTCCTAAAACAAGAGTGTGCCTTTTAGTGTGTTGAGATGAGAATTTTTTAACTGCTTGATTAATAATGTTGGGTGAAAAGCCCCTGTCGATAGCTATTGCTTTTAAATAATTTAGTTCTTCATCAAGGGCTAGTTTGGAGGAGCAAACTTGAAGAGCACGGAAAACATAGGAATAAAATGAAGCTAACTTTTGTTTAGCCGGATGACATGATTTAAAGTGTGGTGGAAGGCAAACCGATGAAGGTTTACGGTAAACGTAGTACTGAAGTTGGATGTGTTACGTGTGACCAGAATGTCGAGAAACGGAAGAGAATTGCAAGTCTCAAGTTCAAAAGTGAACTGAATAGCAGGATCAATAGAATTCATTGTTGAAAGAACTTTATTTAAATCATCTTTATTACCTTCAAACAGAGTAAAAGTATCGTCTACGTAGCGGAACCATGCCGGGAAATTTAAAGTTTCAAACAATTTTGAATCATAAATGCATGTAGATATCAGCCAGGATGGAACTGAGGGGGCTTCCCATGGCTAATCCCTCAGTTTGCTTGTAATATTTATTTTGGAAAACAAAATGTGTTTGTTTCAAACAGAGTTGAGTGAGAGAAATTAGCTCATCAATTTCGATGCAAGAGAAATGAAATTCGCGAAGTCTGGTTTCTAGACATTTTAATGCACCCTCCACTGGGACATTGGTGAATTAGTATTTCACCAATGTCCCAGCGGACTTCTGAATTAGTATTTATTCGGCGTGTTATTGTGTCTTAATTATTATGTTTAATTTTAAATGATTGATTTGTATTGTCTCGTTTATATGATAACTGCTTATATGATTATGATTATGTGCAGGATTTAAGTTTGAAATGTTAATTGAATGTTACATCTTTTTAAATGAATAGGATTACTGAATTTATGTTAAAGTAATTTTAATTTAAAATGGTGAGAATTGGTTAATTAAGTTCGAAAATTTCATGAATGTTATTTTATTTTGTTTCAAGAAATGTTTATATATGTGGATTTGACAGGTCATTGAAAGACGCAATCAAATCTTTTCGAGGGGAGGTGTCATCAAGGTCCGTAGAAAGAAGGTCCGTTCTTTCTACGGACCTTGAGGTGTCATGACGTGATGACCACGCATGCGCAGTTTAGCTGAACGGCCTGCAACGCCTCTCTCTCAAGAGACTTACTAGAGAAGAGTATAGTTAGTAGGTAGTAGCGAAGTAACGAAGTAACGAAGGAAACACGTTGTATGTCAGCTTAGATGCAAAATACGCAGTTATACTTGTGTGTTAATCGTTTGTACTTATTATTTTATTTTGTGTGTTAATAAAGTTTTGTGCCGTTAAAATGGCTGGTTTATGCAAGGCCCACATTACGATACACCTACGGTAGGAATTAAATGCATATCCAGAATCTACAAGCCCAACAAGAAGGATATGACAATCACACAGTAGATATATTTTAAACTACTAAAACATTAAATAAACACAATTCAAACACAGAGAATGCTACTCCGATTTCACCGCGAATTCGCTACAATCAATAACTTAGTAAACAACTGAACTGAGATGTTTCGCTCCGGCTTTTATAAAGTTTTTAATCATGCATGAGAACATTTTGGTACATTCTGGAAAGCAAAAGAGTACAATTACGAGATCTCTATTTATTTAAATGTTAAATGCGTGTGCTCCTGTATTTTTACTTTTTCGACGTAGCTTTCTCTTAAAACTGGTCACTCGCTGCGTTGCACGAGGAAATAAAATAATTTTAATTACAATTCTACTAAAATTAGCAACTAAATACAAAAACTGTAACATTATGAACTATTTATAATATCTCTGCAAAAGTTCATACTGTGAACTGTTCATAACATTTCTGGAAATTACTTGACCGATGGTGTACCCCTAATCTTTATATTTTATTTAACATTTTTATCTCCAGCGCGCGAAACTTTCTATAGGAAATTCTAAAGATCTGTTGAAAGATTTTAAAGATCTGAGATAAATCGATTGTTGTTGCTGAGAATATTGTTGAATCGAATTTTATGTGGCGTAAGCGCCAAGACTACGATATTTAATAAATAAAGGTAACACACACACACACACAAAAAAAAAAAAAAAAAAAAAGCTTCTTTAATCGAAAACCTTTCAGATTATTATTATTATTTCTAGCTGTGAAATGGCTCAACGTGTTCACTGGGTCAGCCGCCAGCAAATGCATGCCTTCTACGACTACCTTAAGCAAGCTCAAGTAAGTTCAGATACATAATTTCGAATATCGTATTTTCTCACGTATCCCCCCACTTTTGTTTTACTAATTTTATCGTTCGAAAAACGAGAGGGAAAAATTATGCGAATAATTTATTTTCCGAAGGACGCAATTAAAATGATGGATAAACTACAGGTAACTATCACAGCATTATTTCTTTAAAAGCTACATGCATTGCAATATGTATACATAGCAATATTAACATTACAATAAACTAGATAATCCACTGGAACTGGTAGCCAGTACATTCAGAACTGTGGTAGCATGCGTACATTGTATATAATTAAGGCTTAGTGTTTATGTATGTTGTTCAGTTTTATTTGTAACCAGCGCATTATTTTTGTTTATGTAATATTCAGAAGAGTATGTTAGTACAGTTGTGCTCTAATTATTTAAAGTAACATAGGCGCACATGCGCATATTAAAATATTCCTAGTATGCCTTTGCAAGCTATAATAGCATTATCTACTCTGAAATCCTTACTACTTTAAAATCACTAACTGTGTGTCAATATGCGAGTACGTTAACGACTATCTGTGCAGCTTAATTGTATATGTAACTCAACTGTCTGTGTATTTTACATGAGTGCTTGCCAGTGTAATTTTTTGTTTTACTTAGAATTTCAATAATTGCCGTTTGGACCAATGGCCTTACCCGTGGCAAGGCTGGGCTGTTAGTGGATGGCATCTGCCAGAATAACATTGTACTATTAGACTTTTCTTGAAAAACTTGAGGTCAGGGGTCACCCATGATAGTATTTATTTCACTAACTATACTGTACGTATGGGCGGCCAAAATGGTTCATAAAACTGATAGACAACTTGAAAGTTAGATAAATGCACTTTTCGAGGAAACAAATTGTAAAGTGTTGTAAAAATCGAGGTCATTGCATTTCAATAAAATATATTTTTAAGATATTCCGTTTGGAAGGCAGAAAGTGCCTAGTTCGAAGTAAAAATGGAAAAAAAAAAAAAAAAAAAATGGCCTCAAACCCGCATTCTAACATTTTTCGAACACGAGTAAATATCAAGAAAATGGTCCTGAAAGAAAGTCCTCCGACTCAAAGATCTACTATATCGGAAGTGAGAATGTCTTCTGGCATTGTACGTAAAATGATTCGTAAAGATCTGAAGTTAGAAAATATGTGTAAACCTAAATCTCACGCTTTAAATGCTTTTGCCAAAACATATTGCGGAAAGAAAACAAATTGTAGAAAACTATGTGAAAAACACATAACTGCTGATAAATGGAAATTTGGGGTAACACTTTATAAAACATGGGTATATTTAAGTGATTGCCATAAAAAAAGATCAGATTTTAATTCCTCGACTGACGGAAGTGACCGCACGACCGTCGATGCACAGAAAAGTTTCCAGCGGTTGATAGTTGTGGGATTTTGCTACAGTGGTAAATTCAGACTCATAAAAGGCAAGGAAGACAAATTTAATTCACCATATTATCAGCAAAATATTTTAGAATCAATTTTTGACGAAGAAATTCCAGCCTTGTACAGAAAGGACATCAATAAAATTGAGTTTCATAGAGCCTCTTGTCATACGTCAAAGCCGACTGTTGCTTATTAGCAAAGAAAGATTCATAAATAGTAATAAAATGTATCCCATGTAATGAAATAAACATCTGGTGAATCACATAATGGTTCTCCTATAGACTTTCGCGCTTTCGGTTTGTTAAAACAAACCTTAGAAAAACGGCATTTAAGACTACTAAAAGTACTTTGGAAAACGACCGAAGAGGAGTGGGATAAAGTGCCAACAAAAATTTTAGTTTTATGGCATATTCCAGCTAGATCTATAGCCTAGAATCAGGGATCAGAGAAACAAACCGCCGCAAGAAATCCGCCATCTATGCGGATTTCAAATCCACTATCATTATCGAATAATTATCAGAATTGTTTCCATGGTTCGAAAGACCTTCTAGACAAATTAAATTGAGTAATTTAGAGATACCTAAGTAAATGTACCGTGTTTCCTGGCTTATTTTTGTTTCTAGCTTTTTAGCACCAGGTTCTAAAAATTTAAAAAATAATAGCCTAATTCTCCTCTTCGTCAATGCGATCAGAGAACGAGCTTCCTTAAATGTTAAAATGGATTCATGGTTTTTTTCGTCTTACTAACAAAGATAAGTCTTCGCAAATTACCTGCGAAAGGCACGCCGAACCATTTACTTCTAACTGTTGAACTTTATGCCAGACTAATACAAGAACCGGACTGTCATAGCGAAGCAAGCATGAACTAACATTTGATCTGCCATTTCGCCAATTCAACTGCATGTTAATCATATAAATGAATTACTTATTATTTATGGCCTACTTAATTACTTATGGATGATTTGAGCTTAAGGTGTAGTAGAGATAACAGTAAGAACGGGCGAGATTGAGGGAAGTAGAAATAAAATCTATGCGTACAATATATCATAAAGATGCTTGATTAAATACGGGTTATATTATTCATTGTTCCTGTACATTTCTTAAATACTGTACCAGTAGACTAAGACAGTAATTAAGAAGACAGTAATGACAGTAATGAAGATAGTAATTGAACAACTTTAAGTGAAAACGATTTTTATACTATACAGTGCACCCACTGATGCGATTATAATTCATAAACATTACGTAGGAGGACACGGCAATGACTAATGACACTGAGTGTCGTACCGAAGTGCCTGGGTTCGAATCCTGGAGAAGGCATGAATGTTTGTAAATATATATTGTATGTGCGGATTGTGTCACTCAAAATAAACGGCGGAGTCCTCTCGAGTGGCTTGGGGTAGGGGAAGAGGGGTGGGAGATACTCGAGACCATCCTTCTAGGGCCTAACATGGGAGAGTGAGGTGTGTCGTTCACATAAATTAGGATTAGAACAGTACTAAAGAGGGATACTTGTAGAACTCCTGTATCACTTTTTGCCAGCATGAACAGGTACAAGTATAAGGATGGGAGACAACAGAATTTCACCTTTGGCGGTACAGGTAAGATCCCACCCAATTAATTACGCAGTTCTGCCCCAATTTTTATGGAGAGCAATTCCAGGGAGGAAATGTTCCGGCTGTCTCCCCACTTTGTACACTTCCCAAAACCACTCGACAGGACTTTCGGATCCCCAGTATTTTAAGTCCCTCATGCCTTACGAAACAATTTTTAGAGACAGACAGAGCTCTATGAAATTTCTTGTGGAATTTTATGTAGTCCTCTATAGTTCTCTATAAAATTCTCTAGAATTGTTGCTTTGCAAAATCATACTGAAATTTTATAATGGCCGTTACAGAATAGCATTCTCTAGAAATCAACAAGATTTTAAATTGTAATAAAAGAAAATTTTTTGTTCATAACTGTTCCATCATTTTTTTTGCCTTAGCGTTTTTAGTTTCTAAATTTATGCAACATTTTGTGCCTTTTTTTGGATAATACTGCTTATAAAATAGAAAAAGTAAATTTTGTTAAGGTATAAAATTAAATTAAATCATAAAATTAATTAAAGATAAAATTTGCGCTGTTAATTATAAAATTTTTATTTTCGGAATCAGAAAATTTTTTAATTATTTAAAATTAATTTAATAATTTTAAATTTAATTTCAAAATTACCTCTCTAGGAAGGCATAGTTACCACTATAGAAAAATCAATGAAATATGGATTCCTTCTTCAACGGAAAGCGATTTCTAATAGTTGAGTTACTGAAAAAAGACCTTCAAATTGTGTTCTCTTAATTATTATTTTTGCGTTCTGTACAGGTTTATTAACGACAACACTTGATGAAGAATGGAAACACAATTTATTAGTCGGTATTACTCAGGGCAGCTCCAAAAACACGTTTACAGTCGTTGAAAAACTACGACAAACACGTTAAAGCAATCAGCAACACGGGCTTCAGTCTATCAGGCTATAACGCAGCTTCACGACAAAGCAGCAGAGTACAGCTGCCGACTCGGTTCGGTCGTTCTCGGAACTCAACGTACTCTCGAGACTCTCCACGCTGCAACTCGCGATGCACACGAAGATAGCGTTAACGATGCATCAACTCGACAGTAGACTGACGATAAAACTCGATAGACTACGAGGCACTCGATAGACAAGGAGACTCTGACAAGACACACTCGACTGACGATCAACTCACTAAACTGGGCACTGACTGACTCTTCGCGTACTAGCAGGGTTAGGGAGCACCGGTACGATAAACAAGCAGAAGTAGGGGCAGCTTGCGATCCCAGTCTTCTTGGTTCTTGGATACCATGAGCGAGAGGTGGTTCAGAATTGTAAGATTAAACCTCTGCACCATGCCATCCAGACTGCGGATGTAACGTGATCATCTGCGTCTTCTTGATTTCTAATAAGCCTCAGAATCCCTTGAACATAGCCGAAGTAAAGTTCCTGCCTTGGTTGGAATGAATCTGGGTTCCCAAACTGGAAACCCAGTTATGTAACGGAACTTCAGCTGCCGTGACAGACTTTTGGTCTAGAATTGAGTATGCTTCAGGCCACTTCGTAAAATAATCCATGACAACGAGGCTGTATTTGTTGCCATCCGTGGTCGTGGAAAAGATCCAAGTATGTTAAGGGTAATTCGGTCGAAAGGTGCTCCTAACATTGTATCACAGCAGCCCTTCTACGTCCCTTCGATCCTTTCTTGGCTACCCAAGATTACAATCCATCACAAGATCCATGCCATCACAAGACCGGCATCACTTCTCCACATTGATTTTCGCCGAACTCCAGAAGAAGCGCTCTCGAATCTTATTTAGTGTCTTCATATAGCCGAAGTGCTCTCCTGTTGGGCTGCTCTGTATTTCCTTCAGAACATCAGGTATTCGGTTTTGAGGAAGCAGCAGCTGCCATCTCTTATTAGTTCCATCGTCACTTTCCCATAGCCGATATAACACTCCATTTCGGAAGTGGAGCGAGTCCTAGAGAACCCACTTCCTTTTAGTTGTAGGACTGAAGATGGAAATGTCCTGCCACTTTGTTTTT